GGCAAAACCCTCCTCCCTTCCCCCGCCACACCGCGCTCGCCTGGCTCGGGCCCCCGCACTCAATCCACCGCCATCCGCAGCCCGCGGGGATGCCTCGCGGCCCAAGCCACTTCCCCGAGCAGGGCAGGGAGCTGCGGGTCCCGACACGGCACCCCGAGAAGGCCCTGACCCGCACGGCGCCGCAATCCCCAGGGCCCCGAGCCCAGGAGCTCACCTTCCTCTTCTTGGAAATCTGCACCGCCATCTTGCCGCCGTGCGTCGCCGAAAAGAAAGGAAGTAGCTCACGGGCGGAAGTGGGTATAAAGGGCGCGGAGTGACGACGAAGAACTGCGCGACGTTGACGCCTGTGGGCGCTCCTGGGAAATGTAGTTTTTCTGGTAAGGAAGGCGTTCAGGAAAAGAGAAGACTGATGGAGACAGCTACAGAGGAAACAGGAAAGGAAGCAGATGAATCAGAACCTGGGAACTGCAGGGGAGCTTACTGTAGTTTAAAAAGAAACAACGTGAGGCGCAGAGATGAAAATGACAAGTGTAAACTCACAGAACAACAGAGTTCAACAAGCGCTAAATCCTGGCCTCTACACTCCACACTGGAATGAAAATAGACTGAAAGTCTTTGGTGAAATTCATTTAGGACCCCAGCTCTTTCAGACTGTTTTCCTTCCCTCCGTTCCAACTGATATCTAACATTTATTAAGTATTCTAAAGGCTGTTGTATGTCCTGTATATTATTAACTAATTTACCCCTAGACCTCACTTTCTTAAAGTCTGTTACAACTTGTAACAAGAAGTACTAGTGGCTCATGGGTTCACAATTATTTTTCAATAAAAAATATTTCCCTCTGTATTTTACTATGAAAATTTCCAAGTGCACAGAAAAGTTGAAAGAATTTTGCAGTGCACACCCATATACGAATTACTTAAGTGCTGCCATGAACATTTTTGCTATATTTGATTTATCACATATCTATCCACCCCTCTATTCACCCACCAATGCACCTTTTGATACATTTCAAAGTAAGTTGCAGACATCAGTACACTTCACCCCTAAACATTTCAACAGTTTTATGTTAAATTTGGATAGTTTGCCTGAATTTAAAATCAGGAGATACTATTTTAGGTTACTCTTTAAAATACAGAAAGATCTAGCAACATATCAGGTCTACATTTCCTTATAACTACGCTCTCCTTCCCTGTTAGATGGCAAAGGGCTTTCCCCTGTGCCACAGTCCCTGGCAGCTTCATTCACTTCTTGTCTGATCCTTGAAGACATTTGTGCTTTTCTCCAGCACTAATACAATTTTTAGGCAAAGACCTGTCTTATAATCATGGAATTAATGGTGTTCTAGGGTGGGGGGAACCGAGCAGAGGGACAAGAGAAGATGAAAAGAAGTGGATGAACCAAAAAGATAGATAGGTTGTGGACCTGATGTGTCTTGATGATGGACTGAGGTTGAAGCGGGAGAACTGAGAATGATGCCCAGGTTTCTGACTCCAGTGGTGGATGCTTGGTGACAATCCTCACTGAGATGAGGAACCCAGAGACAGGTATTTTTCTTTTTGTGTCATCTTCCTCTGCTCTTTACTTTCTTCTTCATCAAGCTCCATGGTCTGTTAACACACTGGTGCCAGGCTGCTAAAATCTCAACCCTGATGACTCTGACTACCTGACTTTGCTATGCCCTCTCTTGGGATATGGGAGAGAGTCTGGCTTTGTGCAGCAACCTTTTGCAGCAAGGATTCAGAATTTGGATAGTGCAAATGGATATACTAGATAAGAAATATAAATTTAGGAAGTATTGAGGGGAGCCAGGCAGAGACCTACTCTCTAGGTGAGTGGCTCCCTGAATCTCTGGACCCATAGCTTTTTATTTACTAGAATACACATTTGCCCTTTAGCAAAGCAAACAGACATTTCAATGGTAAGGTTTGGTAAACAATAAAGGATTATCAGGTTAGGGCCATGGTCGGCAAACTGCAGCTCGTGAGCCACATGCGGCTCTTTGGCCCCTTGAGTGTGGCTCTTCCTAAGCCTTAGGAGTACCCTAATTAAGTTAATAACAATGTACCTACCTATATAGTTTAAGTTTAAAAAATTTGACTCTCAAAAGAAATTTCAATCGTTGTACTGTTGATATTTGGCTCTGTTGACTAATGAGTTTGCCGACCACTGGCTTAGGGAATTGCCTTCAGCCATTCAGCCAGCAGCAAGTAATATAATGCTGATTCTCAACCCTTGCTGAATATCAAAGTCCATTAGCCTTCTGACGGACCTCTCAAATTTACATGTCATCTACTTTTTGGTCTTTGCCTCCAGCAGCTTTGCATACTGTAGTCAGAATATTTCCTCATTCAGTTATGCCCCTCGTTCTCCCACAGTGCTTACTATAATCTTTGTCAAATCAGAACCTCCTCCTCATTCTCAGCAGTCAACCTCCCTCCTAACTTATTACCCCCAAAATAGGTTGTACAGTCAAGAACTGCCTCTCACCTATCCTGTAGCTGTATGTTTCCTTGGCCAGCCTTCTCTTTTTCCCTCCCTGCTCAAGGAAGAGACCCTCTTCTTGCCCAAGGTAAGTCTCCCCTGTGTGTTTTAGTTTAAGTTTAGTTCTGTTCCTTTGAGACCTTGTTTTAGCAATCAAGCTCTACCTTTCAGGTGATATCCTCCTTTACTGGCTCTTCCTTCCCCATCCCTTGTGTTAAATATGTCCAGGGTCGTGACTCTCCTCGTTGCCCCTAGTTGTAGGACAAATGTTAAAAGATTTCTTTTTACTGCTTTTGTATTATTGCTTTAGGACTCACACTTCCAATATCCCTACTTACAATAAAAATAAGACCCAGAGTACGAAGGATGTGAGAAAACGAGCATCCTCACACTGTAGGTGGAATGTGAACTGGGCTTCTTTTTTGAGGGCAGCTTGATGGTAACCACCATAATTTAAGATATAGATTCCCTTTGGCCCAGCAAATGCATTCCTTTTTATCTACTCCAGAAAAACACCTGCACAAATATACATAGAGTTAGTTGAATGCAAGAATGCGTGTTATAGCACTATTAGGAATAGTGAAAAAATAAATTAAGAATAGCTCCACAGCCCCTCAGTAGAGAAGTGGTTATTGAATATTATGTAGTGATTAAAAAGAATGATGTGACTGTATGTATACACATGAAAAGAGCATCAAGAAATATCACTATGGCCCAACGGGCATGGCTCAGTGGTTGAGCATCGACCTATGAACCAGGAGTCACGGTTCAATTCCTGGTCAGGGTACATGCCTGGCTTGCAGGCCTGATTCCCCAGTGGAGGGCATGCAAGAGGCAGCCAATCAATGATTCTCTCTCATCACTGATGTTTCTATCTCTCTCCTCCCTTTCTCTTTGAAATCAATAAAAATATATTTTAAAAAATAAAGAAAGAAATATCACTATGTGACAAAACCTAGTTGCAGAACAATATAAACTGTATAATACTGATGTACAATAAATAAAACATTATGTATGTAAATGCACATAAGGATAAATAGCCAACTGACAGATAACCAATCTTACTTCTGGGAATGGAGTAGTTTGGCGGGGAGGTTAAGGGGCAATCTATTTTATTGCTCAGCTGTTTAAAAAATATATTTTTATTGATTTTTAACAGAGAGGAAGGGAAAGGGATAGAGAGTTAGAAACACCGATGAGGGAGAAACACCAATCAGCTGCCTCCTGCACGCCCCCTACTGGGGATCGAGCCGCAACTAAGATACATGCCCTTGACCAGAAATGAACTTTGGACTCTTGGGGGGGGCGGGGGGCGGCGCGGGGGTGGACATTCTATCCACTGAGCCAAACCCATCAGGGCTCAACTTTTTTTTTAGAATAAAAATATATTCATACATTCCTTGTAAAATTGAAAATGGATAAAAAAAAATGCAAGGACCTCATTTCTGATTATGTGGCCACTAGTGAAACAATGTGAATTGGCTCAGCCTCTAACACCAAATCCCATAATCCTTGCTTTTGAAAGCTCAGGATAAAGAAAAGCTTATTCTCTTAATCAGACTATAAATCTCTGTCTGATACAGTAGCCACTGGCCTCACAGGGCTACGAAGTACCTGAAAGGTTGCTGCTCTAAGGGGAAAATTGTTCTATGTGTAAACAAACCAGATTTCAAAGTGTGAAAAAGGAATATCTCAATAATTTTTGTATTGATTACATGTTAAAACAATAGCATTTTATTTATTTTTTAAAATATATTTTTATTTATATTTTTACAGAGAGGAAGGGAGAGGGATAGAGAGTTAGAAATATCAATGAAAGAGAAACATTGATCAGCTGCCTCCTGCACACCCCCCACTGGGGATGTGCCCGCAACCAAGGGACATGCCT